ATTTCAATATTAACACTTTTACACATAAAAAATGAAAATAAATAAAAAGAATTACAATACATTGAATCACACTGCGTACATGCACCCAATTTACGTTCACACCCACAGATTTTACACTAAACAAAAAAAAAACATTTCTTTTTTTAACAATACATTAATACCAGGGTTATCATCCATTGCGAGGCTGTTAAAGGACACTTATGGATTACAATCGCTAATAACTCAAAGCATCCATCCGGCTATTTACCCATCTCTAAGTGGGTACAAAACTAGAAAGATGTTTACTTTTTTGGTCATGCGGCAGTTTTGCCATGGAAAATCAAACGTATTGCGGCGCTAAGTAGATGCGCCATAGGAATTCGCTCTAAAATGGACGTCGGAAGACGTTCCGTCAAAATTAATATGACAATCTAAAGGACGTCGTATGACGTTGCGCCATTTCAAAATTATGTCAACACGACGTTATAAGCCGCTGCTCACGCGAACGTGTTAATTAAACTCTGAACATTTAAGTAATTATTTGTATATGTTAAATTTATGAATGGAAATGAGATCAAAATGTGACGGTGTCCAATGATGTATATTAATATCTGTCTGTATTGTGTATGTCCCCCAACTATTTTTTACACCACTGTATATATACAATAAAATAGTTGATAATGTTTATGTTTACTAACCCAATTGTTTTGTCCTTTCAGCTACTAACAACTAAAAACTACCACAAAGTTAAGTTCGACGGTCCAATAATTTTGCCGTCACCACTCGACACTGGCAGTATAGTCGACAACACCATTGTGGAGACTCGGTTGCCAAAGAAGAAAAAAAAAACTTATGGAAGTGACATATCGATGGTCAAAGGTTGACAAAACGTAACTGCAATGTAGCAAATTTTACAGGAGAGTGAAAAACTGTTTAGTTTCGAGAAAAAAATATAACAAAAAAGTAGTTTATAGGTAATCAAATTATTTATTAATATAGCTTAAATAATAAACGGTCCACATAGGTTTTACATTAAATAATCAATAAACAATCAGTTACGAGTTAACAACATTAAAAAAATCTCACTTCTAACATGTTACGAGCAGTCAACATTTACTTACGAGTTGTCCATTTAGAAAAATTATTATTATATTAGATTAAAACAAATTACATGTGCGGTAAATTATCGTAAAAAGAATAATAATCAGAAGGTATTACAGTTTTAAGAGCTTGCAAATCATTAAATTTGCATGAAGTAAGTTTAGGCGAGTCTTCAAAAAGTTGCTCGGAGGTTGATATTGGAAAATTAATTTTTTTTGGTCTACTTGGTAACAAAGAATAATTTTCATTGCAGATGTTAGTTTTAAAATAGATTTTGCCATCTGGATGGTACAGTAAAACTTTAAGATCTGTGACAACAAGATCTCCTTTTTTCTTTCCAGGCCTAATACTGTCATAACGCATGACTTTTGTATCATCAAATTTAAAAAAAATCACATTTTACTATTTTGACGTCGTATGGATCTTTTCGTGATTTTTTTGTTATGTCTGCGTATTGCGATGAAACATAAATAGCATCATATTTTTTAATGCCGCGTTCGATGGTAGCGTGAACACTATCCACTTCCATCTGCGTATGCCCAGGCTCTAAATATTTTTGGTAAATTACCACATTATGCACACCCGCAAAGTTGGATAAAGCATTAGCTAACACTGCATTCCTATTTTGATATGTGCAACCGTCACTCCAAATAATTATAGGCTTTGTTTCAAATTCGCCTTCAGAGTCGCAAATCATATCATGAAGGTAATCTAATATGCAGCTCACAAAGACCGATGCCTGGGTGTCACAGTCGACTTCCGAAAACCAATAACATCGTACTTTTTTGGATGGATATTCATAAACCGTAAAATTATGATTGATTAATTTTCTTCTGTAATAGGCACTGCTGGCTCTTATGTATGGACACACTTTTACAGCTTGAACATCCTGTTCTAAGACAACACATTTTCCTTCACCTGCCTCCTTTAAATCCTTTTCTTTTTCTTCTCTTGCATTTTGTTTCCTGAACTAATGATCTTTATACTCCTGTTCTGATATTTGTTTAGTATAGTAACTTAGACACGTATCACATAAATCTTTTTTCGGCTGCTGGAAGCCAATATTTTTTTCTTTTATAATGTTATCAAACATGGTTCTACATACTACATACATTAAGCGGGTAAACTCCAGTCGCTTTAAACCCTGCAATCGCATTCTCTGCAGAAGCAGCTTTACCCCAGGCACTATTTAGCAGTTTTCCAAAAGTCAGTCGTGACGACCAGGGTTTTGTTTTAACCATAGTCTCACTTGCTCGTAGAAATTAGTTTTTAGAGACTTGAATACTGAACGATCCAAGGGTTGAAGATAGTGAGACGTATGACTTGGCATTGAAACTAAAATTATGTCATTTTCAACTGCGTATTCCATTTCGACAGAATTGCAATGTGTTGAATGGCCATCGAGCAGAAGCAGGACTTTCAAAAAACATGCTATTTTTGAAAACTAATATGACCACAACTTCGTACGTAAACTCTAAAAAAAGAATTAGCATTAGTCAAATCAAAAAAATTGGTTTTTACTTACATTTTCATTTTTTTTCGCAGAACTTTTGGAGTACGGTTGTTCTTACGCACCTCGGCAAGCAAACTGAGTACACAGTTATGCCATCTAGCGAGTCTTTGTACAATTTTTAGGCACTGGCCAACTCTCCCGTACGGCCATCTATCCCTGAATTACCCTAAAGAAATACACTTCCGGACACCTAAATCGAGCCACCTTCATTTTTTTGGTTTGCAGTACTGTAACTTGTAAAATATCTATGTAGAAGGAAAATTTTTTGATGCAGTTTTGGAGCTGGTTTAATCGACATTCATTTAGAGTGCCACTGTTCTAAATTTGAACTACAGTTTATTAAAAAAGTCGAGTTACGTTGAAACAAGTCCATATTTGCTTTTTTCAAAGAAAAAATGAATCGATTTTTAAATAAAAAAATGTTTTAAATGAAAAGAAATGTTTATTTAGTAACTTGTATTGCCTCCCCGTACATTTATGACAGCTCTCATACGGTTTGGCATAGAATTAATCAATGTCGTTATAACATGTTGAGGAATGTTCTCCCATTCTTCCTAAATTAGATTTTTGAGCTCCTTCGTAGTTTGCGGGGCAGGATGATGAGCTCGAACACGCCTCTTCAGCTCATCACATAGATGCTCTATAGGATTCATATCAGGACTTCGCGCTGGCCATCTCATAACAGTGATACCAATGTCATTTAAGTGCTGCCTGACGATTCCCGCAGTGGCAAGGGCCCATCCCTTGCATTATCATGCATTAAAACGAAATCTTGGCCAATAAATACAGCATATGACATCACGTGATTCTCTAAACATTGGCGAATGTATCTATTGCCATCTAGGGGCGGCAGTCGTGGTCCCGTTACTACCTCTAGCTCAGTTTTGCCTTCTATAGAGATTCCTCCCCAGACAGTCCATGATCCTCCACCATGATCCTCCACCATAACTCACTCTTTCGTCAATACAACATTGCGCGAAACGCTCGTTCTCTCTTCGGTATACCTTACTCCTTCCGTCATTACCGTATAGCATTATCTTGGACTCATCTGTGAAGAGAACCTGGCTCCATCGATGTCAAGTCCAATTTAGATGTTCGCGCGCAAACTCTAAACGGGCTATTCGGTGTGCTCGTGTCAATTTGGGTCCATTGGCTGGCTTATGGGGCTTTAAACCACGTTCATTGAGTCGCCTTCTAACGGTCCGAGCACTTACAGCCACTCCGTGAAAGTCCCTGAGCTGTTCTTGTATTTGAACAGAGGTAAGGCGTCGATTGCGTAAGCTGGTAGTGACAATGTATTGATCTTGTCTCGCCGTTGTCACCCGGTAACGAGGTCCTCCTGTTCGCCGAACGAAGCCGTCAGTCTCCAGGTATCGATGGTACACTCTTTGCACAGTGGAACGACTTATGAGAAGTTGTGAACTCACATCTCGCTGACTTAGCCCAGATTGAAGAAGTGCTACAGCTTGCGCGGCTACTTCAGGTGAAGTATCCATAATTTTATAGCCAAAAGCGATTCAAATTAAAGAAAAAAAAAACTAAACTGAACTTTGGTTAACAAAAATAGCGAAAATTCAAACAAAATTGAAATTAAATTGCTTCAAAAGTAACTTTCTACAGCTATTATTTTTTTCAAATCAGTGACCAAGCTCGGCTTTTGTTCTTTATTTTAAAATCTTAAATTCAAATTTGGAAGAATACATACGGGAAAGACGATGAAATATGCCAGCATTAAAAATGCATAATTTTTTTTTTTGTTATATTGCATATATTTTGTGTAATGGGGCTCGATTCGAGTGTCCGGAAGTGTATACCTATTACAAAACTAAATTTAGTCTTCTAGCTTTTTTTGCAGCGAACAAATCAATTACTTCCTCGGTGTCGATGTCAATTCTGCGGTGGATTGACATTAACGCCAAACCGTTTAGTCTTTCCTGGCCTGTGGAGTTTCTCAAATAAGTTTTGAGGCGTTTCAGAGAAGAGAAAGTTCTCTCGGGAGTACAAGTAGAAACAGGCAGTGTCGCCAAGATCTTTAAGGCTGGAAACAGTGCTCGACCGACGGTCAGTGCTGACCGTACGTCCAGACCGTCAGCGCTGACCGTACGTCCAGACCGTCAGCGCTGACCGTCGGTTCCAAAAATGCATTTAGTGCTACGCTGACGGCGAACTGTAACGCGTGTGTACAGTTCACATGTAAAATGAATCCTTTTACTGTAAATGCTCTAATATGTGCACGCTATTTTTTGCGCAAACGACGGAATAGAAGGCGGCGAAGATATCATGTACACCCAATACTTGTAGAACGGTTGTTAGAAGGCGAGTTCTGCAAACTAATTACGAGATTGCAAGAAGACGAGAAAAAGTTTTTTGATTATTTTAAGATGTCAATCAGAAGTTTTAATGAACTACAAGCAAGGTTACATGATATTTTGAAACATTCCAATATGTTTCGAGCTCCGGTCCAACCTATTGAAAGATTGGCTGTGACTTTAAGGTAAGTACTTATTACAATAATAAAATAATAAAATACTCAAAATTTTTAATCAACATTTATTTAAAAAATTACATTTTTTTATTGAACGTGAGAAAATCGTTTATAATACAGTTTTGATTGGATGAATCATTTGTCTGTATATGAATCAGCTGAGAAGAGGGTTCCTCTATCAAATAGGACTGTTGGATATTTGACGGACCGGGCAGTGTTTGAATAGGAGATTGTACCACTGGGTACAACGTCATAGAATTACTATGTTGCGAATCTGATGAAGTAAAAGAATGCGATGTTCCTGGACGGTGTAAGCGAGCCTTGAAATTTCCAAGGCTTTTTGTAGCACCTCTTGACGAAATATTAATTTTTGCTCGATAGAAAAAGTATTAGTAATCGGCAACAGTGAACTGAAAAACGCCATATCATCGTTTTGCATAACTTTTGCATTCTCTTTAAAGAAAGTCAGCATTTCTCTGTCAAACTCATCTTCATTGCGAGTTTTTTGACGTGTTCGCGTGAATTTTCGTCCACCGTTAGAGGCAGTTTTGCTGTTTTGATTAATGTTGGAATCATCGGAAGTTGAATGCTGAGGTTCAAGAGTTCCTTCGTTTCCAGTAGGTTGAGATACGACAGCACCTTCGTTTTGGTATTCAGCAGTTTCATTTTGGTTTGGCTTCTCATTTGGCAAAATTGAATCCTCGGTATTCAATTCTCGTTTATTATCCAGAAATTTCATAAACTCAAAATAAACATATGTCTTCCTTTTTTTACCTCCAGATCCAGACGGTATATTCTTTAATGTAGCCTTACACCTCACATAAGCGTCTCGCGCAGTTTTCCACCTCTGCTGCACTTGTTTGTCTGTAAAAGAAGATTAATATTTATTTTTTGTTTGAGATACTTCGTGACGGGAGAGACATTTAAAGATCTTCATTTTAGCTATCGTTTGGGGGCTTCAACTATTGGTGAAATCATTAAAGAAGTATGTAAGAAAATTTGGACTCTACTCCATGAAGAGTGTCTTTCGATACCTAATTCACAGGAAGGGTGGCTACGAATCGCTGCCGGTTTTGAAAATACAGCAAATTTCCCTAACTGCATCGGTTGTATAGACGGGAAGCATGTCAGAATAATTTGTCCTAAATATAGTGGGAGTCTGTATTCAAATTATAAAAAGTTTTATTCTATAGTTCTTTTAGCTATGTGTGACTGTGACTATCGCTACACCTATATAAATGTAGGGGCATATGGAACAGATTCTGATTCAAATATTTTTCGAAGAAGTTCATTATTTACGAAATTACACAACGGAGAAATAATATTGCCTCCACCAAAACCATTACCTCACACTACAGAACCTCTCCCATATATGATTATCGGCGATGCCGCGTTTGGTATATCGAACAAAATTTTAAGACCTTATGCACGAAGTAATCTGACACATAAGAAAAAAATATTTAATTATCGCTTAAGCCGTGCTAGAAGGTACATTGAGTCTACATTTGGAATAATGAGTAATAAATTTAAGATATTTCACAGACCAATGAATACTTCCCTACCGAATACAAAAGCAATAATAAAGGCTTGTTGCCTTTTACATAACTACATTCGAGAAAGAGACGGGTACAGAATACAGGATACACTAACTGTTTTAGGGTTTGACCAATCTCTTAATACAAACAGTAATAACAGCAGATCAGGTGACACAATAAGGGATAAATTTTCCAACTATTTCGTTTCTCCCGCTGGTAGTGTACCGTGGCAAGATACGTGTATTTTTTAATTAAATAGTATTTTACAACAATAATAACGTTTTATTTACTTACCTATATCCTTTTTCTCACTCTCGGATTTATCGTCGAAATCCGGAATTAATTCTTTACAAACTTCTTGCCAAGCACTTATTCTAGCATCACGATCTTTATAAAATACATGCGATAAAACCCATATTACCGGACGAAGCCGCACTTCTGTAATAAGACGATCTGTATCAATATTCATTTTTGCTTTGAATGTACGTACGCGCGTTCCGTCAGCGAAGCACTGAACGCAACGATACAATCTCACAGCTCGTCGTTCGACCGACGTACGCGCGACCGACGAGCCGGACCGACGGCTCGACCGACAGCTCGCACGTACCAAATCACGCGCGTACCGTCAGCGTAGCTGTGTGCGTGTTCATAGACTTACACAGATATAGCTACGTCGTCCGACGGTCGGCGCTGACCGTCGGTCGAGCGCTGTTTCCAGCCTAAAAGTTTGTGAATGTTTGAAAATAAGGCCTGGTTGCATTCTCCGAGAGCTTCAATAGCACATGTTGGTCGATCTAGTTCAAATTCTTCCATTCATTTTATCCGCCACATGTATAATTCAGCTTTTACGAAGTTCAATTCCAAATATTTTTATAGAGCTCAAAGCTGTTTCCTTGATCATTCTGATTAATGGGTTCTTGGCAACACACAGATGGAATTAAAATGTTGAGAGATGATAATGTGGCTTTATGACTTTGGAATCTCGACTGAAGCTGATCAATAAAGTCATCCAAAAGTGGAATCATTACAGTAATTGTAAAAAAAGTTTCAGGATCTTTTGTGTTGTACTTTGCCCTATGCTCTTGGCGTGACGTTATTCGCGGAATTTTTATTTCGTCGTTCACAGTACTGAGCAGATTCTGTGCATTCTTGAAAAGTTCAGCAAATTTTGAATCAATATTTTGACGAACATCTTCAATAGTCTTTATAATTAAATCGACATATTGTAAAGCTGCTGCCAAATCGCATAAGGAAGATTGAAGTATTTTACATAGTGTCAGTGTGTACGGGAACAACATTCCTAAGCAACATAAGCTTACAATAAAATCACTTGAAATGACTGATTTTAGAAAAGAATGAGCCTTTGACAATGTTTCAGAATCTATGTCAGTGCTTAAGTCGTCTAGTGTATCAACAATAGCTTTATAAATTTCTTTAAATCACAACCCACCATGATTTTCTACCCAGCGAGTTTCGCACATTGCCGTAAGGTTTTTCGATATTATCTTTTAGGCCTCTTTTCCATTACACGGTTTTTCAAACGTACGGTGTGTAAGCCGTACGGTTGAAAAAACGTGCTAGCTTGTAAATGATACGGCAAAATCACCGCGCGAGACATTGGTAAGTACTGGCTAGTAGCGCTTTTTACTCGGGCTGTGTAGGACGTGCTGCGTCATGAATTTTCTTACGAAAAAAAGATTATAGTTGCTTATTACATATATAGAAAAAATGAAAATAGAAAAAAAAGGGAAGTAAGGTTTTGGATACATCCGATTTTAGAAAAAAGGGAGGAATATGGCGCGTTTCATACACTTGTCAAGAATCAATTGAGAGAAGATGAAGACAAGTTTTACAATTATTTTAGAATGCAGAAGACTACATTCGACAACTTGCTCCAAAAATTATCCCAGGAACTAAAACATCAAGATACTTTTATGCGAGAGAGTATATCGCCCGCAGAAAGATTGGCTGTAACTCTGAGGTAAGTAGGTACAAAATTAAATGACATATTTTAGTTTAAAATTGTTTATTGCACACAAACAAAATTATTACATGTAATTGAATTTTAATAATTATTAATTTAAGAACAAGTAAATCAAAAAATACACTACGCTGAAAATGCTACTCAAGTGCGGTACTAAAATCGAATTCGTCTTCAATAGAAACTTGAGAATCTGCCGAGATACTTTCCGCATTTACACTATGTACAGATAATTGTGATTCGGGTCGGTAGTGGATTGGCTCTAAACCAGAACCGTGTCCAAAATCATGAGAAGACGTCTGTGGACGACGTATTCCATAGCCCGATCTAGCATCTGTAGAATATCCATATGTTGACGATTGCGCATTTGAGGATGCTGTACCACTTAAATATCCTTGATGGCCTTGATCCCATTGGTTTCTTGATGTAGGTATATACTGAGTACACTGTCTTTGTTGAATATTTTTAATTATTGAAATTACTTGAAACTGAAAGTCTATCATATTTTCATCACTGAACTTGTCAACTGTATCAGCGATTCCCATAAAAAAGTTCATACTACGGCTTTTCTTTTTCTCATCTCGTTCTGCTGAATCCATAAACTTCATAAACCTAATGTCAATGTAGGGACACATGTAAGTATGTATGGCAGAGTGCAAGGCAAGCAAAAACCTGTGTGAGCGTGAAGTATGCGAGGCACGGACAGTTACTGCGCACTGGTCCGAGTGAACGGTTCTATCTGGGGGTTTACGTGAATATATCCGGTATTCGAACACCGTTGTTTCTCTCAACCCCCTGCGCCCCACGACCAGAAGAGGCAGTGCTCAATTAGGGATCCCCGTAATCCCGATCCCTAAATCAACTTCACTTAGTTCATTTTTTCTTTTTTTTAGCCCTTTGCGTCTCACTCCGTTCAGTGTATCCCGAGCTTGATTGATTCGGGACTGCACTATCAAAATTTTCATTACTGAGGCTAGAATCATGAACATGTTCAGTCATGTTAAAATCGGTCTTGCGATGCTCAACATTTTTTTTTAGGAACATCATTTCATCATAGAACATATATTTTCTTATTTTTTTTTTGCTGAAGAACCAGACTTACATTCATAAATTTTTTTGTCATATTTTATCCAGCTATCTTTCATATTGGTCCACTTCTTCATCACCATTTGCCCTGAAAATAAATAAATAATAATTATTAAATTCAAAATTTATAAAATTTAGTATTTGAACCTGAACCGTTTTGTTTTATATTTCAGGTATCTAGCAACAGGAGATACCTTTACTGACCTCTACTACAGCTATAGAATTGGAATAAAAACCATAAGTTGCATCGTACGTGAAGTATGCCACTACATTTGGTTAGAACTGTATAAAGAATATATGAAAATGCCATCTAAAGAAGACTGGCTACACATTGCAAGCAAATTTCAAGAATCTTCCAACTTCCCGCTGTGCTTAGGAGCGGTCGATGGAAAACACATCAGACTTATTAAGCCAATTGATAGTGACTCGATGTTTTTAAATTACAAACATTTTTTTTCTATAGTTTTGATGGCAGTAGTAGATAGCGATTACAACTTTATATTTGTTGACGTTGGCGCCTACGGAAAGGAGTGTGATTCCAGTGTGTTTAAAGAGACCCCATTTTGGAAAAATTTAACAAACAACGGATTAAATCTACCCGATGCAACACGTTTGCCTGGAATTGACTACGATTTGCCATATGTGTTCGTTGCGGACGAAGCCTTTGCTTTGCATTATCACTTGCTTCGTCCATTTGGTGGTCATCAGCTTGATCAATTAAAACGTACATTTAACTACAGACTCACCAGAGCGCGAAGATTTGTTGAATGTGCGTTTGGCATTTTATCCAATAAATGGCGAATTTTTCACCGGCCAATGAATGTGTCCATCGATTTGACAGTTGATATTGTGAAAACATGTTGTGTTTTGCAAAATTTTATACATAAGCAGGAAAACTTTCAGTTTCACAATGCGAGTGAAAATGAGTCCACCCTTGATTCAGAATCGGAACTAATCCAGTTACCTATCACGAATGCAGTTCGCGGAAGTTTGGCGGCTAATGAAGTTCGCAACAGATTTGCACAATATTTTGTATCTAACACTAACCTGCAAACTTTTTTTTTTTCCTTTGGCAACCGGGATCCTGCAAACTTTAAACGCTTCGCTTTTTGAAAGGAATAGTGACATAAGAAAGAAATGTTGTTGAAAGAATTTTATTAGAAAATAGAGTTGCAATTACGAAAAAAAAACTGCGTTCGATAGAAATATCTCAATTTCTTTTTTTTTAAACGTGTTTTGATTATTCACTGGGGTGTGTTCATTCACTGGAGCACCTACCCTAAGGGTCGGACGAAAGCTTTACGCCATACTGCTGGAAATACACTAGAGAACATAGAGAAATTTATGATATGAGTAATCGGTGTTAGTACGTGGTCCAAGATATTTGTAATCATATCTTGAGATATAGAGTCATACATAGCCTTTGATTTAATGGAAAGGATGATCTTACGAATCTCAGCCGTAACAACGGGAATGAAACAGAAGTTGGTTATGTTGGGACGCGTCAGACCACTGATAAATGACAAGGTGTTTAGTTTGGAAAAATAATCTAGAGTACAGTGGACAAATGTTGGTTAAGATCATCTAAACCAATTGCGATAGGCAGGTCTGAATTCTGCGTTTTACCAATACCAAGAGACCGGAAGAATTTCCAGATATTGGCAGGACATGAACAAGAAGTATTATTGTGAATATGACGGCGTTTAACGTTGCGTGCCACTTTATTGCATCTGTATCTCGCAATTTTGAAAGACTCCCGGTTCTCGTATGTCGTTCTCGACTTCTCTTATGCCTGCGGAACGCGCGGTCTCTACGAAGCATTGCCATTTGCACTCCTGTGGTCATCCAAGGCGCCGATGGAAGCATAACTTTGATCTTCCTGATGGGTGCATGGCGGACGTACAGACCGGCTCCCAATCAAGAGTCAATGCATCACCCCGAAGTCTCTCGCCATCCATTCCCGCAAAACCGCGCCTATACAGAACGCTAGGTTTCACCTTGGGTGGTTTGAGGCAATAGGATAGGCAGATAAGGTCATGATGAGAAAAACCAGGAGCCTCACGCTGACCATAGAAGGGAAGGGAACCAAGGAAGAATTCAAAGTGAGCATAAGATCGAGCCAGGAGTCCTCAGCAATAGTATTGTGATGAGTGGCATTCAGTGGTAAGATGTGAAGACTCACTGACTCGATTAAATGAAGGAGTTAGATCGAGAGGAGTTCGAAAGGAGATTCGTATTAAAATCGCCCATAATAATTACGTGATGTTCGTACTCGGAACCCAAAGAAGATCAAGAACTGACTCGAATTCAGTGAAGTAATGATTAGTTGAAGGGCAATAAATAACACCCAGGACCATTTTAACCCCCCGGACACAAACCTCAAGAAATATAAGTATTCTGGAGAAGAAGTCAAAAGTATTTTGTGAGGAAAATTACAATGGAGGTATATTGCCACTTTACCTCTCCGTCTTACAATCCGGTCATTCCGAAGAAGAACTATACTATTAATATTAAAGTATTAATAATATAGTTCTTCTAAAAATTTGCAGCTCTTATCAGAAAAAGAACGATCGATGAAGTCTGCAAGAGTATCACCCAACGAGCAAAAACTATCACTATTAGTGACATCATCATTAGCGGAAACAAAAGAGTCACTATCTGACATAATAAATCATATATGTATATAAAAAGTATAAATAATAAGAATATATAATTAATAAACTGATAATAAACATCAATATAAATATAAATAAATTAAAGCAATTCGCCAATCATCGGTACAAAAGCACAAAAAATATAATATGAAGAAACACAAAACATGATAAGAAAAAGGAGTGGAATGCGGTGTAAGGCAAGGAGGAATAACCTCATCAACCTTTATATTAACGACCTGATCGTTGAGCTCAGCAGTAAAAAAATCGGCTGTCGCATTGATGACTGCAATATTAATAACATCAGTTATGCTGACGACATGCTGCTGTTGGGCCCAACGGTCAGGTCGCTCAGAGAGTTACTTGCGTGTACGTTACACATGGCCTACTGTACAATGTTGCTAAGAGGTAATTCATGGTCTTTAAGGCGAGTGGTAGTAAATTTCCAGATTCTGTACCTGCAATGAGGCTTAACGGTAATGAACTAAATTTTGTTTACCAGTTCAAATATCTGGGTCATTACGTGACCGACGACCTTAGGGACCATGTAGACATTGAGCGGGAACGGGAACGGGAACGTAGGGCGCTGGCAGTTCGATGTAACATGCTGACGCGCAGGTTTGCGCGTTGACGAAGGAAGTTAAAGTAACGCTTTTTAAAGCATATTGTCAAGTGTTCTACACGTGCAGCTTGTGGGCCGGCTATACTTTGCGGACTATTAGCGCCCAGCGAGTCCAATATAATAATGGGTTCAGAATATTGATGGGACTGCCCCGTTTCTGCAGTGCATCTGGCATGTTCGCTCAAGCACACGTTGATGGCTTCCAAGCCATTATCAAACAGAATTCTGCATCGCTGCTCTGAAGGGTGCGGGCCATTTCCAACTCCATCTTGAAATAGCAGGGACGTACGATTCACCTATAATATATGATATCGTGTGAAGATGTATGTGATTATCAAACTACATATCGTCGCCGTGTTGAAACGTCTACATTATCAAATATCTTTTCAACTTTCAAACGCATTACGCTATAATAGTTATCGAATTGTGCTTTAAGGGTATCTACGTGAGGAATTTTAAATAATGGACAAGCTTGATGCATCAACTTTTTAAACCCACGCCCTTTCACAATGTCGAACGGTCTTTTATCAACACAAATAAAATAAAGCAAACATTTGCAGAGTTTCAAATAATCCTTTCCTCCATCGGAATAAGAGTATTTTCATTCCATTGATAGTACAATTGGACGTAGTTTAGCTGAAAGGACTCAGCCCACAATATGTCATTTTTGACTTATCGAGGTTTTAATTTTAGATGTGTATTGCTGTCATAATGTTGTGTTTGGAATATTTTGAAATATAATCACGTAAGGGCAAAATATACAACAAATTTATGAGTTAAGCTGTAGTAACATAAACCAACTTATTTTCGAGTTATTGGGAATATGTTGATTTGAGTCGTTTCTGCTAAATTGGTTTTAAGATTAGGAAGTGCTTTTTTTTATTTCTCAAAAAAGATTCAAGTAACAAAAACTTGTGAAAAAACTGATATTTAAATAAAAAAGGCTTATTATTTAGCAAATTACGTATTTATTAAAAAATAGAATGTTCCTAAAAATATAATTTCTATTTTTCCTCATCATCACCCAGCTCCAGCTCCACCTCAAAATCTGGTTCCGCTCCGTACCCATCCACATCTTCCTCAGATTCTTTTCCTTTTAAGGACTTGTAAAAGTCCAGACAGTCTTTAGGGATAAGATGGAACATTGATGTTAAATCGTCCAATTTTGCCTGTGCAATTTCTTTGCCATCAGGCCAAAGATAATTAAAATCATCCTCAGAAATATCTAAAACTTTTCCTCTAACTTTTTTTTCAATGTTAACTCTTTAACTACTCCATCTATTTTCATAAAAATGGAATGTTTGAAATTCTTTTCAATACAAATTTCTTTTGTCTTTAGCCAATTCACTTTTTCTTTCGAAATAAATGTTTTTCTGTTTACTATTTTCTTTTCAATTTTAGACGTTGACACGAAATCTTTCATCTGCATTCTGTAAACTTTAAGAGGGTTCTTCTTTCTACAGCTTTTCATTACGTTAATGTAATCTTCGGCAGTATATATTCTTTCATGGAATTTTAGCTGGTATTCTATCTTGGAGAAATCGGTATCGTTCGGTAAGAATGTGTGGCCGGACTCTAGGTATTTGAATGTGATGGTTTGGAGACTAGGATGTGAGTTTAGTAAGGCCTTAAGCATTAAAACTATTTTAATATTACGATATTGTCCCCCGCAACAGTCACTCCATAGTGCCAACTCTTCAACTTTTGGGTCCATTTTATGTTTTATGTATCGTACTAGACACGAACCGACCTCTTGTGCTCCCCGACCAGCTTCACCTTCCAACCATACGTTACAGTGGCCGGTGTCATTGGAGCCAGCATGTATGCCACTATTGTACAGCCATAGTTGGCGTTTATAAAACACAATATTGGTAGGGATGCGCGGCAACGGGAGAGTTTTCTCAAGGTCGAATGTTAGGCATTCAAAAGTTTGGTCTGTTTTGGCTCGTGCTAAATCCTCATTCATGGATTGTCGCAGGTCTTGTGCTCGATTTAAATGATCTTCCTTTTCTTTCTCCAATTTCAACTTTTCATCGGCCGATGTGCAGTTTTTTATTTTTTGTGTGAAAGTATCACATTTGTTACATGTGTCTTTTTTTAACGTTTTGCAGCGCAAATTAAAATATTTATAAAATATTCTTTTTAAGGTTTCAAACGAAACAGGTTTCTTAGATTCGCCGTGCAGTTTTTTATTTTCTTCTACATACAATTCGTAAATTTTTTGTACAGTCATCCCCACTTTTAAGTACTCACAGCCACTATTGTTCTCTCTTCTATAATGGGACTTGTACTTAGGTAGGGAGTTTATTACATTTTTAATAAATTCCACATCTTCTGGCGTTTTATTCTAGCCACCCTGCTGTATACCTCTTTGGTCTTTTAAACTTTGATTCAATCGCTTTTTTCGCAAACTTACATCAATTTTTTTGGAAGATACTTGAAAATTATGTAAGAACATGTCTTTACAAACTTCTACACCGCTTAAATAATATCTTCTTCTGTAATCTCTGGGTTTCCTTTTTCCTGTTTTATTATTTGTAACCGTATATGATCTTGATTTTGGTTCTTCTTTAACGTTGTTTACTATAAATAATAGCTTCGCTTCATACGTATCCAATTCTATGTATTTTTCGAACTGAGTTCTTCTTTGTTCTTGTGAAACCTTGGCAAAACATTGTCTAGTACAGGTACAAGCGTAGTTTTGAAATACTTTCGATGCAACTCGTTTGGATTTTGCATTGTATGGTAAATTTTTGTATTTCCGTTCTTTTTGCTGAGCTAATGTATGATCAGGATATTTTCTTTTACGACCTCTTTTTGCCCGTCCTTTCTGACTGGTGTTTGGTGTTTCCAAATCCTGCCTAACCGAGTCTTTATTACATACTTCTAAATTAGAGAGATCCTGAACAGTTTCTTCATCAAAGTATGAATTTCTTGCAGTATTAGTATTTGTTTTTAAAACTGCTTCTTGGTTTTCTACGCTTGGTAAGTTTAAAGCTTCTAACAATGATCTTGAGGTTTCATTTTCAGAATCGTCTTTACTATTTGGTATATTATTTTTTTTTAATCCTAATACGTTAGCAGTAAACATAATTTTATTTTTAACTAAACGT